CAGTGATAAATGTATGTTTAATTAAAACAACAATCTGAAATAGAATCAGTGGCTGCAGTCTGAGTCAGCAGAGGGAGAGTTTTCAATGCTGCTGCAAGCCTGGTACAGTTATAAGGGGACATGACTTTCATGGACTACCAAAGCACCCTGTGTGGCAGTAACAGGGGGCTGATGTGCCAGGCCTGTGAACATGTCTATGTAAGATTTTAGCTGTTTAAACGGTGTGACAGGATTAGGCTAGAGTAGAAGGGGAAAGAGGCAGCTCTAAAAACCAGAATCAGCTTTGGCTAATTAGGAGAGGGTTACTTCAGGGCAGCCAGGAGCAGCTGACCCAGAGTTATCAAATGCACAGTGAGAGCAGCTGAGGCGGGCTGCTATGAATCAATTAGGACCAGCTGATCTCACTTCAGGGTGCCACAGGGTCTTTTAAAAAGATTTCCCTGCTGGGGAATAGGGGGAGAAGGGAAGAGCAGGTTGGAGTGAGGTGGAGAAAAACTATAGCAGATAAGGAGAGAATTGGAGAAGCTGATCAAGAGAAGTCAATGTTGCCAGAGAGCTGGGGAGGTGAAGGGCTCTAACAGAGAGTGTTTGGACTCCCTTCCCCAAGAAGCCTGAGAGTTTCAGCCAGTGGCTGGGGAGGACTGTTTACCCAGTCCAGGCAGACCAAGGAGTCCTTACCCCAAAACACTTCTAGCCAAGGGACAGAAATCCAAACCCCAGCAAAGGCAAGAGGGTCCCGTGCTGCAGTACCTAAACTATCAGCGAGATTGTGGGTTGTATAGGGTCTGGGGCCCAGGAGTGGGACTGATCTTGCCACAACAGGTAACTGATGAGCTCGGTTGCTTAAATGGTTACACATGGCTCCCGGTCTGGCTCCCAGGAAGCTGGCTGCTGCCCTGTGCTGCTGTGGGGCAGCAGACAGCTCACTGGGAGCAAGGTGGCAGACAGGAACTGGTACTCACCGGGAGCCAGCTTAAAAGCTGGTTCCCGGCGTGCACTGACTCCCAGGGAGCTGACTGCCACCATGAAATGCTGCGTCTGTAGCAGCAGCATGGGACATCAGGTGGGAGACAATACGCATGGAAAGGTGGCTTAAAAGCTGGCTCCCGGCGCAAACCAGTTCCTGGAGAGCTGATTGCCAACCTATGCTGCTGCTTCTGATACAGAGGCTAAAGTGCAGGGTGGCAGCTGGTGTGCACCCTGGTCTCCAGTCCTCCACATCTGCTTCAACTGACCTCCAGCTGCTCCAATTACCCATAGCATTGCAAAGCCCTCCCCCCTTTTCACTCAGCCTACCCTGGACGGTGCTTTCTGCGGAGCTATTGGATTGTCACCCCTTCCCCAGACACCTTGTCCCATAACCTCTCCCCAGTCTTCTGCTGGCTCCTCCCCATTTCTTCTTCCTCACTACACCCTCAATCCCCTCATATCTCCCCTTCTCCTCCAGGCCTGAAACACCCCCTTACTCTCTGCCACCCATTGGGCTTGGGGAGGGGCTGAATGCCTGTTAGGGGTGGTCAAGGCTCAGCAACCTTTCCACCAGTTGGGCGTACTCCTAGCTGTTCTCATCTCACCAGAGCATCTGGAATCTAAGCTCCAAGCCCTGCCCACCTTGCCAGATGCACCTCTTGACAAATGGAGAGGCACCAGGTCTGTCAGTGGTTCAGTATCAGGCCATCAGGAGAGTCTCAGGCCACCATTGTTGACAAATGGTTCTTGGGTCTAACCACTCACAAGAAGTGATCCATGAGAAAGAACATGCATATTTTTGTCATTTTATCCCCAGCTCTGTAACTCTGGTGTGCTGTGCAAGCACGTGTTCCTTCTTCTATTGGCCAAGTGTCCTCAAAGAGTTCAACTATAATCCAGAGGACCCCTGGGGGGGAAGGGGCTTTGGTGAGGGAGCATGTATATTTGACTGGGGGACCCAGATAGACAGTTTTAGGGCTGAGGGTAGTGGGATTGTGGGTCCCACATCACAAGCAAGGGGCCCCAGATGGAGGTCTGCACCTGGGTGTCTTGGAGGCCTAGTTTGTAACAAGTGACTGGATGCTGGTCAGAACCAGCTGGTTTGGAAGCACATGGGATGCACAGGTTTGCTCCAATTACAACAGACTGCTGACCACCCACTGTCGCTAAGTGTAGGAACGGGCCTCAGTAATGAATTGTGAACTCCACACAGAGATGTGAATGAAATGTGCCATGCAACCAGAATAAGTTCTTACAGATAGATAAATACACACACACACACACACACACACACACACACACACACAAATAACAAATGAGAAGTGGAAATGGCCCATATTACAATGGCCATGTGCATACTGGAGAAGAAAAGAAAAGGAAAGAGAAAGGCAGTTTGGGTCCACAGTAGACTAAGTACCAGACTGGATGACAGGAGACTATTCCTGGCTGTGCCATTGATTCACTGTCTATTACTTGGCATCTAGTGCCTCAGTTTCACCATTTATTAAGTGGGGCAAAGAAAGCTCAGCCTTTTTCCAGTGCTGTGAAACATATGGCTGAAAAAAAGCTATGAAAGAACTAAGCATTTCTTCCCACCCTCTTCTTGCACAAACCATACTGTCAAGCGTGTGTAATGAGAGTAATTTCCATGATACAACTAGATAAAGGTTTTTAAAAATACTCACTAAAAACTCATCCCGGATAAAGAATTTGGCTCTTGTGACTTTGGGATCTTCTCCTGCATCTGGTGTTGCTGTTTAATTAAAAATAAATTATATCAGATAAATTAAATAAATGAGCTATTTTTTATATTTAATAAGAGATGGAATAAATAAGAGAGAGTCCTTCACTATAGGAATTAAAAAACAATAGACCTACAGTACATTCACTATTGGTTCTTCTAAAATGAAAGACCACTTTAAACTATCTTAAAATAAACAAACCTCTATTTCCCAGCTTTTTAATGGGTAACAGCTGCTTGGATAAATTGGGAAAATTGCTTACTACAGTGACACTGGTTGTACAAATTACTAAAACTGACTGTAGACTCTCCAAATGCTCACTCACATCCATCACTTTACTAGGCATACATGGATCAATGTTTGGGTTTAACTTGGTACCGTGTGCTGATTTGAAAAAAAGTTCAGCAACACAATGCCTCTTAAGAGTGTAGCCCAATGAAGCTACTACACATTATTATTTGGCATTACAAATAATAACAAGACGATTTTACATTTCTTTAAAAGTGAATTTGTTCTTGTTTAAAAAATGATGCAAATATTTTTCACACTAGTAACTATTTATTATTAGAAAATATTTCATTGCAAAAGTATTTAGATTTTTGTTAACAACTCCTAGCATTTAGTAACAGGAAAACAATGAAATGTGAAAAAATAGTAATTCAGTGGTTCAACATTCAGTTGGTTTCATATCTGTTGACAAAGGTTTGATAGTGAAGTTCTATTTATTATATAAGTAGGGACCTACTTGAATTGCAGGATGATTGTCAAATAACTGAAGCGGAGATGAGGGCAAGACATGGAAAATGGCAGAAAAATAATAATGGACCTTTATTAACTGCAGTAATTTGAGAAACCCAGAGAAGACCTTTTTGCTAAAACAATATAGATGCTCATGTGTTATGTTATGCCTCCGAATTTTTTTGATAACAAGACATTTTGTTACAACTGTGTTGTAGTCTTTAATGTGTGAGGCGGACAGCCAGAGTCCGGCCATTGTCACGGATTCTACTCTGCTAATGGAGAAAAAAAGGATGCGTTGCAAACTTCTAAATGTATGCAAAACTGTGGAGTGTGCAAAGTAAGCTAATTCAAATAAAAATGGCAGTGGAAGCCTAATATTGTGTGATCTGTAATTTCTGTAATATTGCAAAGTAAATAGTACATACGATGTTTTTTCCGCCCCAAGTTATAAGCACATGCTTAACTAGATACGCACATGCATATCTATGGGTATGTCTACACTACAAAGTTAGTTCGAACTAACTTTCATAGGCGCTACACTGGCGCTCTGTTAGTTCGAATTTAATTCGAACTAACGGAGCGCTTAGTTCGAACTAGGTAATCCTCATTCCACGAGGATTAAGCCTAGTTCGAATTTACTAGTTCGAATTAAGGGCTGTGTAGACCCTTAATTCGAACTAGTGGGAGGCTAGCCCTCCCCAGGTTTCCCTGGTGGCCACTCTAGCCAACACCAGGGAAACTCTATTGCTCCCCTCCCGGCCCCAGACCCCTTAAAGGGGCACGGGCTGGCTACGGTGCCCATGCCAGGTGCAATCCTGCCAGCACCCAGCCAGCAGACCCTGCACCTAGCACGGCTCGAGACAGCCAACCGATGCACCCCACATCT